AGCCTTAGTAAACGCTTTCTTTAGTGCGTTAAAAGCTTCCTAATAGATTAGGTTAAACTAGAATTAGGCGTTCTTCTTTATAAGAGCTATAAGCAGGCTTATAAGATTAGAGAAGTTATTAATAAATTATTAGTAGAAGTTAGTAAACCTAATAAAAGCTTATATATTTTTTACGTTCTTTAGATACTTCTACTCTATAATTATTCTAACTTTATTTAGGTCTATCTAAATCCCTTTAGTAGAGATTACGTACCCTAGGTACGTAACTTTAGTCTTATAGAACTTACATTTATCTATATTAAGTTATAGGCTAGCTTCTTCTAGCGCCTTAAGCACTAGTTAAACGTGCTTCTTATATTTAGCTAAGGAGTTACTATAGACTAGTATATTATTAATATAGGCTATATAGAAAATGTTAAAGTATAGTTAGAGCACGTTATTTATAAAATACTAGAACGTGCTTAGAGCATTAGCTAAGCTAAACAGTATTACTAGGTATTTAAATAGACTATATTAGGTTTAGAAGGTAGTTAACTATTTATCTCCTTTAGCTATCTATAGCTTATTAAAGGTAGTAATAATATTAAACTTTATATAGAACCTAGCCTTACTTAACTAACTTAGAGTTTCCTATAGTAAGGGGATTAGGTACTAGTTCTTAATTATTAGGGCGTTAAGTGCTTAGTAATTAACGTAGAAGCGTAGACCTCTACCTAGCTTCTTTATAAAGATAACTAGGAAGGCGATAGGTAATAAGCTAGCTTAGATAAATTCTTTTAATAGGTAATTATTAAGATACTTCTGTAGCACCTTTAGTTTATTTTAAGATATACTATATAGAGGTCTGTATCTAGGGTGTTTACTAGGTATTAGTTTAATCTTATAGTTATATAATTATCTCTTAGGCAGTTTATTAGCTTTCTTTTAGGAGAATATATATAATAGGTTATAGTACTCGCGGGGTACCTTTGTTGCTAGGTTAGTATACTTTCTTTCTTCTAGAGCTTTATCTATATTAGCTATAGAGGCAGCAAAGATCTTATAGTTTAGTTATTAGAATAGGATTATTAGAAGTGCTGCTCTAATACAGTAGATATCTAGTTCTCTATTATTAGTACTAGGCGACTATTAGGTATTCTTATATAAGGGTTTTAGGAATAACTTTCTCTAAACTCCTATTAGTCTCTTACCTATAGGTGTCTAGGTGCCTATAGTAATAAGCTCTTAGGTTCTAGTTTTATATTAGTATTAGCGCAGGCACCTAGCCTAGCATTAAAAGAAGTTAAACT